GGACACATTAAAACACAACACAACACATCCAGATAGGACACATTAAAGCACACGAGCTGCTCGATGGTGAGGACAGAATCAGGGTTAAATAAATAGTTATAAAATGCTGTGTGCTGAGGTAGCAAGCTGCACAGGGGCCTCTGTGCCTTTGCCCCGAGGGCAGCAGCTGATAGTGGTGATTTAATAGACGGCGATGGATTTTGCCACCGAAGCATCAGACTGCTTTGCCATGGTGACAGGACAGTGGGGTCTGTCTGCAGCCTGTACTTGGACTGCCCAGTTTAACTACTTTGGAAAGCTTTGTCTTACTTTTGACACTATGCAAAGTTTAAAGTGAGTATACTTTTAATTAGGGATTGGTACACTGTATTTGAACTGCATTGGCTGATTAATTCAATATTTCATTACAGATTTTAGAAAATGTTACATATTGCATTTTTTTCAGCAACGGATTAGTACACATTTGATAAACAAGTGAGCACAAAGTATGTGGGATTACGTCTAGTGTGTGTGTTCATGGTAATCATAGACTGCTGTATATAAGAAGTGACGCATATGGCTATCCCCTGCTTTATGGTCTGTTTGACTCTAAATGGACCATCATTTACTAAACAAACATCATGTTGTATTGAAGAAGACTTGAAGCTAGTAATTGAGACCATAAACTCATGTTTACAATGTTTACTGAGGTAATAAATCAAGTTAGTAGTAGAGTCCTTTTCTCATAGACTTCTATACAACCAGACTTCTGTTTGAAATCGGAGGAGTCGTCTGGTCAGAAGAGAGAATTCCCCTTTAAGACACTTCTGCATCGACTTTACTTTTCAGACCCTGAGGTTGACAGCTGATGGTATCAAACAGTGTGGCTTATTGTTATTAAATCATTTTTGGACAACAGAGGGCTCTATGGCACAGACGAACAAGATATATCTGACTTTGATACACGCACACAATCCTTGTTGTCTTTATCAATTCATTGCTGGTTTGAGCCTTTTCATGGGATTTGTTGACATTAGAAATAAAGATGCTGAAAATCGCCAGCCTTGTCCTTTGAATAAGGTCATCAAACGAGATAAGTAACCCCCCCTGCTGGCTGGTACATGAATGCATGAAATCAGGCTAAAACGAGCTGCGCAGGTTTTCCATTACACACCTCTAGTCTGACTCGTGTCCTTGTGGGCTTCATGTGGCACACTGCATACTGTTTCCCTCCAGGGGATCATGCAAGTAAATAATGCATCAAAACGAGCGAGACGACCGCCTCAATAAAAACATCAGCCACATTGAGGCGGGGTTTGTCCCCGTTTGACTTCAACGAGACGGTAAACAATAGCGGTTCTGAAACAGCATGTGCTGTCCTCTGTTCTGCCTCTGCAGGATACAAAGATACAGAATGAAAGGCTGTCTTCAATGCATATTGATTCATTTATCATGTTATTATTAGAGCACAGCAGTATTACTGTGAAAAGGTTAGAACAGGGATTTAGTGAAGCTAATTTGTGATACGCTTGTCATTCATTAGCTAGATTTGTATCTTCAATGCTCCACACTTACAATGATAAGCAGCACCATCATTGGGTCTTCTTTATATTTTGTAATTTTTTAAATATTTATCGTCACTCTTTCCTTCATTTATCGGCCTGTAAATCGTGTTGATATGAATACATTATGAGAATGAGCTCCGTGGATAAAATGCAATTTTGAAATCGTGCCGCAGGCTTTGATCTGAGAGAGGGAACTGGATATGTATGTGCTTTTTTCTCTCCCTTGCTCCCCTGGGGAACCGCTTAAATGCTAATGTAAGCTCATAGAGAGATGATGAAGAGCATGAAACACTTCTAATTGGTCTTTTGTGTGTTTGTGTGTGTGCTTTATAACCCCGTGTTGTTCTTTGTTAGAGGCTTGTATCTCAGAGGAGCAGATGTGTCCACGTCTCCCTCCCTTTTTATTATTGATTAATGAAGAGGGGATAAATGAACACTCTGTTGATGCTCTTCTTTCACAAACATCTTCTCTCTCTCTCTCAAGACTTTTCATTTTTCTGTCTTTCTCCTTTTTAAAATCCCTCCCCGGCTGACTGCTGGAGCATTGGAGTAGATTATTTGGTGGTGATACACGCGCAGCAACCATTTCAAAAGCTCTTTTGACATATAATATATGCATGACTCGGTGATTCACACATTCATTCCCTCACTCCACTTACACATATGGAGTCTGGCTACGCATTCCATCTACCGCATAATTATGTTCCTCAGCAGGATTACTTAAAGTCATACATGATTTTATGGAACGATGTTACTTTTTCCCCCCTTTATTTATCAGAGAAATTTGAGATTTGGACTTTCTATGATGCCTTTGTTAACAATGCATTAAATACATACTCATGATGCCTTATTATCTGCTCATAGCACTGTATAACTATAGTTATATATAACTATATATGCTTTCAGCTGACGTGATATAGAGCACTAATGGACAGAGTTGAAAATCACATGGAACACGGACACAGTTTCCTTCCCGCCATCTCACCTTCCTTCTTGTAGAACACCAACTCGGTCTTGAACTCCTTCCTCTCATCCAGGGCTCCTTGGATCTGCGCCGTCAGCTGGTCGCTCGTTTCCGTGCCGTACAGGAAGTGGCAAGCGCAGCTCTTCTGCATGAGCTCGGCGCGGGCGTAACCGGTGAGCTCGCAGAAGCCGTCGGAGCAGTAGACGATGGGGTAGAGCGACTGCACCTGGGCGTTTCCCAGGACAAAGTTGCTGTCTGCAAAGAGAGAAGAGAGGAAGGAGGACGCGATCAACACGGTTGTGAAAGGCGAACCACTGAAATAGTTGAATTCACTTGAGGCTTCTGCTACCTAACATCTGATTTGTGACTTGTGCGGACCTCTAAGAGCGGACATTCAGCACGACATCCGATATGTTTTAGATCACACATGCATGTGTAAATACTGTTTTTAATCTGTTAGTTCTATTTCTAGTCAAAGTTTCTTGGATTTTCATTGGGAATTATTTTTTACCAAGACTTTTATAGTCCTGTCAGGTGTAAACGTCTGGCGGGAAAACAGCAGACGTTTTAGTTAGATGAGAATTGAATCCCAAAAACTATCCAATCTTAATCTTTAAACACTCAAAGTAAGACTCGCACACCATATTTGTATTCTGCATTCCACAGCGTGTATTTCTATCAAAAATGCTCAAACGTGAAAGCAGCCTCGGTGCGAGAGAGGAGACGGACTGCTGAAAGCAGAGGTCTCCAGAGCGAGGAAGCCCGGCGGAGCAGTAACAAGAATTGATCGGGTGAGGTAAACACCGTCAAGAGTCACAAAAACCTTATGAGGGTTCATTATTTGATGCAGCCAATAGCACATCTGCCCTCCTTCAAGTAACAATCTTGTGTACAAGCAGGAACCCGGCGTGTTTACTTCCGTCTGTGTGTGTGTTCGTGTGTAAATACCAAGTGGAACATTTTTCCAGTGCATATTCAATTAATGGCCCCGGGCATGTAGATGGGCGAACTCTCTAAAATGGACTATTTATTACTTTGTGCTCAGGCGTTCTCGTTGATCCATCAATTCTGAAGGCCTTCGAGACCCCCGTATTGAATATTTTATGGCCTAATGCTGGTGTGTGAGGTGTGTGTGTGTGTTTGTGTGTGTGTGTGTGTGTGCCTGGGTTGCCTACGAGCTCATTTGAGAGACCGCTCAACATGTTGTGGTGAGGGACTTATCAAATCAGAGAGAAAGGAACATAAGGAGGAGAGGATGCTTGTTTTCTTGGAAAAAAGGAGATGCACGGACTTCTGATGACTAGCAGTTCTCTTGAATACGTATGTTGAATACACTTATTGTAAGTCACTTTGGATAAAAGCTAAATGACTGTAATGTAATGTAATAGAAGAGGCTGGTTGTAGGCTGTGATGTTCGTCTATCAAGTTACATGTTGTAGTATTTCTCAAAACAAAGTATCTCATTAGTTAATTACTCCCATGTCTGCCATGTGCACACTTCCTCCCTTTCCTGCTCTCGCTTTCTCTCTTTTTATCGTCAGTCCTGGGGGACTGCAGAGATTTCCGGTGATGCCGGAAAAAACACCAAATAACAGAAGTGAAGACCACCTTCCATTAGAATCCCTACAGGCCGTCACACTTCCTGTCTCTATCCCTCCCGTGGGAATCGACCCTGATGTCATCTGGTGCACTGTATTTGGATATGCATCCAGGCATGAGACATGAGGCACAGAGGCCAAAGCTTGACTAGCAGTAATTAGTGACAGAGGTGATGCGCTGTTCACCCAAGATAATTCGAGTACTACATATTATGTCTCCAGCAACTTCGCCTCTGGAAGTCGGTGATTTAGCTGCATTGTAAAAGATGAGTTATACTTTCATGGGAATGCTTTTTATTCACACTTCTGACATTATCATCTCCGCCAGGAGAATTGTGCGATTGGTCGCATGTATGTGTTCCTCCATGAGTGAGTGAGTGCTTCTCTGTGTCTGTCCACGGCTGATCGCGGATTCTGTTGCAGCAAACTATGTAATATTTTGGTTGGTCAGTCATTGCTGCATGCTCAAGGACCTCTCGTGGTTTGCGGTGACTCACACTTTCTCAAAACACCTTTTATTACCTGTTTTTCTTAACATACCGGCGTGATAATATTCTGTGGTATTTGGCTAACAGCTAACAAAACTACCAGTACACACACTGCTGTACTTTCCTGCAACTCAGCCACTGCTATGTGGGCAGACAGCTCTGTGAGTTTAATTTAGGTTTTGGCAATATAGGACGTGTCTTATACGACGACTTCCAGCCGATTGTCTGCATCCATCTCCGCTTGATTTAGAGTTTGAACGAATTGTTTTACGACGCCTTACTGGCCATTGGTGTCAAGACTGAGGGTTGCAATTTTCATTAACAAACCAAAATTAACAATTCGTTAGTCAGAATCAATATAGTCCGACTTTTCTGTGGCACATACTGTATTTACAAATGGACCCAGGTGAATGTAGCACCGACACAACACTGTGTCAACTTTGTTTTGACACTTTGCTATTCTTTATATTGCCATTAGCTTATTTCCCAAAACTAAAATGTAGTATGGGTGCAAACTTTTCTAGCTTGTTTACGACTAACGATGCATTTGTGACAGTTTTAAGGTAAACGTTGAGCTTGTTGTGTCTAACACTGTGTCAAAATAACCATACTTAAGTTTACAGGAATATAAAAAACAACACTGAGTCACATCCCAGTTTCTTGGATTTGATTGTTTTCTACTTGTGGGTGCTCCGTCAATTTTGATCCGGTGACTTTTAGTGTCGTTTCACATTCTAAAAAGTCTCCGAAATATCCTAGAACAAACCGGGTGCTGTAGTTTTAAACAAGCAATAGTGCATTTGTTAGAGACTATTTGCAGCTGCAGATTAATGCGCATATTTATACCAGCGGGACGGTGTATTTGGGGTTCATGTCACCCAGGGCAACAGTGACTATACGTTTTTATTTTTGGACAACAGTTATCTTTTTGGGACAGAGGAATAAGATGCATCAGGCTTTGGCTACACGGGTATTGTTGACAATATGAAAACAATGTATGTAAATAGCGCATGGACTTTAAACTATGAACGCAGTCTAACTCAGGCTTCTAAAATGATCAAACAGTCATTATCAGTTCTGTTTAGTCTTCCCAGTCTGAGTTTCTGTTGCCAGGATACAGTTCTCATGCACATCTTCCCCTAATGACTGCCCTGATCCATGTCTCTTTCTCTACCTTACTGTCACTGTCACTGCACATCTCTCTTTCTCCCTCTCTCATTTGTTAAATAGAAGTTCAGCTCCATCGTCTTTGATAGTTGTTGTCGGTTCCTGCTCAGTCTTGCTCGCTGCCTTCTTCCCGTCTCCTTCCTGCCTCAATTCTAAATTCAGAGTTGGTTTTAATGAATGTCTCGCTGTCCGTCTTCTGCAGTTATGTCGCTTTTCTGTGAGGTGAAATGGGGCCGTCTGCGACTCAAATTACAAATGAGAGGGGCTGGATCTGACCTTCTGTGCAAGAATAGCTACTGTGAGTTAGCGCTGCAGGATTAGGGTCACAATGATAGCACAATAGCTTTTTTTCAGTACTTAGATCACAATTATTTGTCATGATTATTCATTGATGTGAAGGACAAAATAATTTGATTGTACTTTCACATTTAAATGAACAGAACACTGCTTTCACTTTGTGCTACATTCCTGTTAATATACTTATTTTTGCATCAAAAATAAGACTTAAAATAAGGTTCTGATTCACCTGAACACAATGCATTTAATATACAGCGCATCATTCATCTACTCTGGACTTCAGCCGCAACATTCAGGAAAGTGTTTTCACAGGCTGCCGCTGCAGGGTGAGTATGCATCGGCATGACAGCTCCCCAAAAGTGAAGCCAAAACATCCCGATCAGCCAATACTGGCCGGCTGGTATTTCTGGAAGCGCTTGATTTGATATGCAGCAGACTTTTCTACGAGTGAAGCGCGCATTATTAAACATTTACATTGCAGTCAATCGTGTTCATATAATTGCGGGAAGCCAAAATTGTGATCACGATTAATATTAATTGTGCAGCCCTACTGTATGTGTGTATTATACTCATTGTACTTCTGTATAGATGACAGATTGATTAACGACCTGATAAACACTTATGTAACCACCGACTAATTGCGCCTTTGTTTCATTTTAGCTCAAATGTGTCACTTCTGCAACTGAATTCAAAAATTCTGTGCTTGATGCGTCTCTAGACATTTAGGAAGTGTGGCAATTATTCATGTGGCAAAGACATCCCTGCACCCAGAGTGCTGTCTGCATAGCACCTGGACAAATTCAATGCAAAATATGCTGCCAAAGCAACAAACACCTGATCCATTATTTGAAGCCAAAGGCTGATTTTTTTTTTTAAATCGGCCACCAGCTTTCTCACTGTTGGTTTGTGAGATTTTCATTCCTTTCTTCTGTTGGTTATTGACTCCGATTGATTTGGGTTCAATAAGTCAGAACTGGAGTGGCTTGTAAGGAGGATTAAAGGGAGGTCAGAGACAGTCAAGCATCAGAAATACACAAAAAGGTAAGTACTTTTGCTGCCATTGATTTTTGTCTCCTTAGCAACTACAGGAGCCTGAGCTAATGTCAGTGCATCGAGATCACTGGTGACTCACTCGTACCACCATACTGGGCACGTCATACATATTGGAACTAAATCTGATTTGGCTTAAGGCGCATGGAGCTAAAAATCACTGAATGTCGTCAATAAGCAAAAATATCAAAGGTTACCGAGTAGTTTACTATGTTGTGTATCTTTATGTATTTTGTATGTTTATATGTTTTGTATAAAGAAAGCATGTATGAGGTACTGAAGTATTATAAACAAAGAGTAATGCATTAAACAATGTATGAATGTGGTAATAATCATAAAATATAAGTGCATATTCACATACAAAGGATATGCCGTAGGATAAATCACACATTTGACAACTTATAAAACAGTTTTTTCAAATTTGTAGTATAATAAAATAAACGTCTGTAGGCCTATCTGTGCTCGTGCAATTTCACAATATATTGTGCACTATAACATAATAGTTACATGTACCTTTAAAATGCCGCCTGAAGCACCACCTAACCCAGACAAATGACAAAGCTACAGCCATGACTGGACATTAATGTGTGCTTCTAAGTTTCCAATCTCATCACTTTGTCACCAGAGTGATCCACGTGATTCTTTGGGCAACGTC